GTTGTTGAGATATCTTCGCTCAAAGTTTTTAAATTTTTTATTTTTACCGGGATCTGCATGTCGATCAGTATCAAAAAAGTATGTGCAGGTGTATCAAAAACGTAAGATTTGCTTCAGAGATATGTTTGTAGATCATTCAAGAACGTGATTTCTTAATTTGGTAAATCACCTGACTGTACTACCCAAAAATTTTTATATGTGGTTACGTATATGCGACGATCTTTGATTTCTTAAATAATTTTATCGTTATAAATTTATCGTTAAAATGGAAGAACAGTTGAATTCGGTATGTTTGATTTTTTTTTATTTCATTTAGAATAACTCAAATATAATAATAATGTCGCACTTTTTCATCTGCTGTATAGCTTTTAGAATTTTTGCACGATGGTAATCCAAATGTAAATTTTCAATATAAATATATATATCTATCTTTTTCTTTTCTAAATTTAATGACTACTTCTGAATGGTAGGTTCGCCAACTTGCTCTCAACCATTTGTTAGGTTATACTGTTAAATCATCACAATTACAAAATATTTTCAAACAAAACAATATGAGACCAATAAGTGATTTAAAAAATATATGTAGAGAAGATCCGGTAAAGATTTTTTATAATCTCATTTTATTTTAATAACCTCAACGTAAAAAATAATCTGTCATTTATAGGTAGTCGCACACGATGCATTTAAAGCTTTAGTGAATTTAACTAGTGATGATGAAATATGCAAAGAACTCAATGATGACAATTTTTTACATCATATGATAAAGATGATTACAGTGTGTATATTTAGGTGTCATACTGTAATATTGACATTAACGCTAACACCAATTTGTCAATTTTTTAACAGAATAGTGGGATTATTCTTGCTGATATTGCATGCATGCTTTTGTCTAACATTACGAAGCATCAAGACATTGCTATGAAACTCTTAAAAACTAGAAACTCAACAAGTTGAGGGATTGTCAAGTTCAACGAAAGCGATAGATCAACTAGTTGATGTATTTGTCAAAGGCTTGAATAGGGCCTATAATAAAGAAGCTGAATTTCACTTTTTAGCAAGCGTGTTTACAAATGTGACAATGGTATGGTTAACATTTTATTGTGAAGTGTATTGATTATGTATTTTGTATATATCACAATGATATTCAAGTTCCATTTTCAAAATAGTTACCTCAAGGTCGTGAATATTTTTTGATCACAGCATCGTATGAAGATGTGATCCCACTATCAAAGCTGATAGTATTTACCGAACACCCTAATATCATTCGTAGGGGTGGTGTTATCTCATGTTTAAAGTAAGCTTATAGTTTGTGACTTGCATAATATTGATTTCAATAAAATCTATATTGACTTTTATAAAGAAATTGTTGTTTTGCAACAGAGCACCATTCAGACATGTTGTCGCCATCTAAGGTTAATATTCTTCCTTATATTCTTTTACCCTTATGTGGTCCTGAAGAGTTTGATTTAGACGTGAGTTCGCTTTAATATTTAAAAATTTTATTGGTGACAGATTTACCAATTTACAATGCTTAAAAATGTATATGTTTTTGGTTGAAATATAAAGGATATGGAAGGAATGCCAGAAGATATTCAATTTCTGCCGTCTGACAAGGTATATATAATGTAGTTTGTTTTTTAGCATATTTTAGGTCGCACAATTAATATTCTAATTCAACTATGAAGAAACGTGAACCTGATGCACACCTTAGACAAACTCTTTTGGAAACAATTGTACTTTTAACAACAACTCGACAGGGTCGTATGATACTTCGTCAAAAAAAAGTTTATCCTGTTATTCGTCAGATGCATCTTGTTGAGTCAGATGAGAAAGTTTCAACTGTAGTTGACCAAATTGTAAATATGTTGATGAGAGATGAGGCACCTGAAGAAGATAATATTCTAGAAAAAATACGGAGTGAGCACCATGATTCAGGCAATGATAACACTATTGAAGAGATTTAAATGTCAAAAAAATTGTTGAATAAACTAAATTAAAAAGATAATCGAATCCAAATCAGCTATTCTTGTTGTATATTGATTTTTAATAACATAGATTTCTTAAAATTATGCAGAATTATGTTTCACTCAGTGTTTCGGGCTAAACCCGATTTTGCAGATCATTTGCAGATCAAATTGGGCGAAACTAGTTTCGGAGGGTTTCGGACTTATAGGGCGAAACTAAAATTCCTCTGGGCGAAACGTTTCGGACTTTGGGGAAGGTTTAGGCCGAAACACTGGTTTCACTGCCGCAAACGCAGAAGCATTTAAATAAAATCATTCATCTCTTGATTTGATAAGTCAAAGTTGACTTTAAGATGACTAGCTTAAAGAAGACATGTCCGATTTTTACTTGTTATAAGGGTTGCAGCTTTATATTTTTTTATTAAATTGTTTAAATTATTTGCGATATAAATATATATATATATATATATATAAGGAAAACGCTATACGTCTTGAATCATTGATCCGTTTCGTTGATTTTATGCATAATTAAATGCTATAAATATTATTGGAGATACACGATAGAGATCATCCGCAGTTATGAGCCTCAAAATGACAGCTGTCTCATCGTATAATTAATTTTATTAAATGAATGGTATGACTTATAATGTCGACATAATGTTTCGTCATTACTATGATTTTTGGTTTTGTTATATGATAAACGATATTAATATATGGACGCAAAGCGAAAACCTGAATTGTTGATTTTCCGAATCATTTTCGGAAACAGGATATTAATTAAAATTAAATTTTTTTATATTTACATACAAATTATAGTGATGGATCATTCCCGAAAGACTGAATAGAGATTACCTTTTAATCGGTCTCGCAGTTATTCGGTCCTGGTCTCGTGAATAGTAAAATTGCATATAATTAATTTTCTCCACTATTCAATATGAGTTTTAAATTGCTAAGGACCGTTTTAGAGCTAGACTGGGCTAAAAACTTTAATGAGCCAGTTTTATTAGAGACTGGTCCGGACTAATTCATTCTTAAAAATCAGTAAAATTTATATTTTAATAATTTGATCTCTGTTCAAATTATTGGTCATACGTAGAATAATATAATTATAACAATAATCTTAAACATCTCTATTATTTATTTTGTAACAATTAAAGTATTAGTATGCTTCTTCTTTTTTTTTTAAATGTTCAAAGGTGAGACATTAGTATGCTTTTTAATTAATTAAACCAATAATATTTATGTATTTGGAATTATTAAACTTAATTCTTGACATCATTTTATTATTAAATAATAATCTTGATAAAGAAGCATCTTTACTTCAAGGTTGCTAATTTTTGCTTATTATTACAAATAAAATTTATTCTAATTTAAAATTTTATAATTGGTTTAAAATAATCTAGTTGTTATATTGATTTGTATATTTTATCCAATGTAGTGCTTGGATCCGATCAAAAAATCCGTCGGATTTTTAATTGGATATCCGTTTGTACCGGATAACGGATATACGGTTTGCGGATAGTCGGATATACGTTTATTATCCGATACTTTGATTAATGACAACAATACATTATAGTGATATACTTTGATTAATAAAATGATGCATTATGACTGCTATACAAAATATATAAGCTTTTTATTTTGACTATATGATTATATGATAATTTTTCTTATTTATATTTACCTTGATACGTAGTAAATTTTTTTATACTTATTCATAATAATGGATAGCGAAGATTCTTTACAGTTTAATGAAATCTCAAGCGAAACTTCTATGAGTTGCTTAAATGACAACATTGTTACGATAGATAATAATCAATCAAAAAAAGGGGAGGTTCTAGAAAAAGAAGCTGGGTATGGGACCATTTCAAGGACTTACCTACTAAACATGGATCTAAAGGCCAATGCAATGTGTTAAAAAATGATGGCACTAAATGTAATCATATTATTGAAACTGATGGCGGTACAGGAAATTTTAGTTATCATCTTAATATTACACATGGTGTTACGAAATTTGGAAAATTAATATTAGATAACTCCCAAGTGTCAATTAATGAAATGCTTCATCAACAATTCAAGGATAATGTTGAATATAAAGAGGAAGTTGACAACATAGTAGCAGAATTTCTTATATCTGATTCGCAAGCATTTTCTGTTTTAGAAAATCCAGCATTCAAGAAACTTTTAAAAAAATTTAATCCATATTATGAAACACCTTGTGACAAAGGTATTAAAGCTTGAATATGTATGTCTTACAATTGGATGTTAGCCACTCTTCAGGATAGATTGAAGAATTCAATGAATTATTGTGGATTAACAATGGACTTGTGGACTTCCCGTAGTAATAGTGGGTATCTTGGGATCACATGTTCATGGATTAATTCTTGTTTTGAACTGCAAGAAATCACTTTGGCTATTTGTGAAATAAAACATCCACATACTGGACATGCAATTGCATCTGTATTGAACTCTATTATTCAAGATTGGAATTTAAGTATGAAATGTTTTATGGTAACAACTAATAATGCCAAAAATATGAAAAAGTCTGTTATGGAAATTGAAGGAGTTGATCATTTTTCATGTTGTGCACACATTTTACAACTAGTTGTAGGCAAAGGATAATTACCAGTTAAAGTCTTGGTTGCACGAGCAAAACAGTTAATACAATTTTTTACATCTTCTAAACAGAGTGAATAGCTTGCAATAGCACAAATTTCTTTAAATTGTGAAGTATGCAATAATATTAACAACAATCATGAATATCTTAAAGTTATAATAGATGTTGCAACAAGATGGGATTCTACATATATAGCATGGGTAAGAATTTTAAAATTAAAACCAGCAATTGAAGTTATGCAATTAACAATGAGTCATAGTAAAGACTCTATAGTTAAAAAGATGCAAGACGTCTTAACCGAATTATTCTAACACCTGATGAATAGCAATTAATGAAAGATTTGATTAAAATTTTACAACCTTTTGCTGATGCTACAAAGTTGCTTGGGGGAAGCAAATACACTACAATGTCATATATGTATCCTGCTATATCATCTCTCAAAAAATTGCTTAAGATTACATATAACACTCAAATTGATATAAATCTTGATGATACAAATACGGTTTTTGATGATGATCAAGAGTTTCAAGAAGAAATTGATCTCATAGATGAACCTGAAGTAATTAATACTGAAATCAAAGCTAAAATTAATCAAACTTCCACAAATCTGTAATGGTATGATTGAAAATGTAAAAATTGCATTATTTAATGCTTTAAATTACTATTGGGAATATCCAATTCGTGAAGCACTTCTTGCAACACTCCTTGATCCTAGAAATAAAAAATTGGAATTTGCAACTTATTCTCAAAGACTTGAGGCTGAAGCATATTTAGTAGCTGAATATGAAGTATTTAAAGAACAAGAATTAGTACCAACAAATTCAGTACAAATAGATATCCTTGAAGAGGAAGAAAATGTCTTGTTGGCTGCTATATACGAATCTATTCAAGAATCTGACTTTAATGATGAAATTCAGACTTATCTTGCATTGCCAAAAATTCCAAGTACTCATTGTCCTTTAATATGGTGGAACAGCCAGCAATTAAATTTTCCTATATTGAGCAAAATAGCTCAAAAAATATTTATGCATTCTAGCCACATCCACAGCCAGTGAACGACTTTTCAGTGATGCAGGAAATATTATGACTGCCAAGCGAACTTGTTTAAATGCTGATTTATTTGAACGCATGTTATTTTTAAAAGAAATGTAAATTGCACTGGTGTAATGTTTCCTTAAAGTATTTTATTTTTCAAAAATAATGATATTATATATGAACTTTTAAATTAGAATTATTGATAAAATACATAGTTAGCTCTTTTTATAATAATTCATATAATAAAAATTTGTTATTTAACGCTTTTACTATAATTTTATATTGACAGTAAACTTATCAAAAAAGTTCACTATTTGCTATTCGCTATAAAAGTTTTGCTATATGGTGTATTTGTTTTGTTATAAAAATTGACTATATTTTAATTCAACAGATTTAGTCAGATAATTTATAGCGGATATCCGAAAATTGCATTTATCCGGTGAATAGGTAAAATGGATAGTCAGATATCCACTGGATCCAAGCACTAATCCAATGAAATACTTGGAGTCTTCATAATTTAACAATAAACTAAATTGTTAAAATCTTTTATCAAACTTTATTGCTAATTTTATTAAAATAATATTATTTTTTGACGTAAAAATATTTTTTATTTTATATACTTTACTAATTCTTTTAATTGCAATTTTTTATATAAGATTTTGATATATTATGTGAATTATTATTTTATTAATTTGATAAATAAATTCAAATAGATTTTAAAATATACTAGCTAAAAAAAAACCAATAAATAGTGTTTTAACTAAAATTTACTATATATTTAGTCAAGTATTTGATGTTTAAGTATCTAATATATTTAAAATATATCATTATATTTGTCAAAATTATAAATTTCTAAATTTGATAAAATAGGTAATATATTATTAAATATTTAAATATAAATACATTTACTATAAAGCACACTTATGGTGATTTTGCACCTATTATATGAATTTGTATATTCTCTAAGTTTTTATAAGTTGTGTATATAAAATTATAGCACAAATTTTTCAAGTTGGGTTAGTACTTAGTGTTAGAATTAAGGATTTTGGGGGATGTAGAGCGTTTTTACTTTGAGCATCGCAATCAATTAATTAGCCAGTTTTTGATAATGCAACATGGGTGGTAAAACACTATAGGTGCGTTTTAGCAAAAGTGATATAAATATATTAAAAATGAGAAAGTTTTATAATAATAATAATAACTTGCATTTTAGTACATAATGAAAAGCAATTCTTACTCTATTAATTCTGCATTTGCTATAGTTTATATGCGATCCGTAAAGTGCCATATAAGGTACCCGGGTACCTTATATCTTGCATGACTTATACCTCCTGTATTTTGCTCACTAGAAAAATTTTCTTTACTATTAAGTCAGCTATTGATTTGTATCTAGGTATCTCACAAAATACTATAACAAATAACCTTGAAACATTAAAATCAACGCAAATACACGGGAGTAAAAACCAAAGGGTACTGATCACGGGGTACCTTACATGGCACTTTACGGTAGACACAGTGTTGGGTTGGACATTGGACATGTCCAATGTCCAGTCCATGTCCAGTCCAGTCCAATCCATTGGACATTGTGTAATATATAAATCATGTGACAAATAGCCAACCAAAAATCTTCACAATATCACACCGAGAAAGTCGTGATCACGTGATAAAGATAAAATTTATAAAAAAGTTCGTTAAAGTTAAGGTTAGCATTTATATTGGGGCTAGAAATTAGTGAAATTTATAGTAAAATCACTCAAGGGAAACTTTTTGTAAGGCCACATTTTATCAAAAGATTTTTTTTATATTTTTTAGAATTATTGGACATATTGGACTGAACATATGCCCAAGTATTATGTCCAATGTCCAGTCCAGTCCAATAACATAAAAAATAGTTGGACATATGTCCAGTTCCAACACTGAGTATACAATATGGGGTCTTTGCCTTGAAAATCACCTTCCTACATTTCCGATAGGGCTAATTCGGGCAAAATTAAAGCTGTGTATTAGTTCATGTTAATACGTAAACCCCTTTTGTCTTAGTTTATAGAATAAAGTTTAAAATCAATAAAGCAAGAAGAGATTCCATATGTTATCATATGTATAACAAATCAACTACAATTATAGTCTTAATTTATTTATATTTTAAATTAATTTATTAATCAACTTTAAAGTTGATTCAAAATTCTTAGTATAGTTCAATTTAAAATTTCAATAAATTACTAAATTTTTATGTAAATTTAATTCGGATATTTTAAAATTTCGATATTAATTTAGAATTTTGACATGCTAAATGTCGACGTCGAAATATTTCCACATAGAACAATTTCGACTATCACTAGGTGAATATTGTTGCGAGGATACATCATTATATTTTCACTAAATTATTAAATTATATAGCACTTCATTTTTTCAAGTGGTCAGAAAAAAGATCCGGAAAATGTTGTACATATTGAGCAGTTGATATTTTGAGAATAGCTGACCTGTTCCAATAATTTTATGCTTAAATGAATGCTATAAACTGTGGGATTCGTTTTCCTGAATTAATAAAACAATTGACTGTCCTCAAATAAGCCCGATTATACGATGAAAACCTCCGCAGTAATGAAACAGTGAATGATTGTCTCATCACATAATAAGATTTGGATTGAATGAATGCTAAGAATTTTTACCGAAAAATTATTCCTGAGATATCAGATAACTTTTTATAGTAAATTGCTTAAAATTCTTTATTAAAATGGATAAATAATTAATGCTATTAACTTGCATGTATCGTCATTTCAACGCATAATCATATATAATCATTCTTGAATTACACAACATAAATGGATTACTTGTGTTGTTTGGATCCGGACTATCTGGTCCGATATAGTTTTATAAATTCTGATATACTGTACCCGAACTAGAATGGTACTTAATAACTATTTTTCTTTGTATCTGAATTACAATTATCACCTATAATAAAAAGTATGAAAATATTACGAATTTGCCTCTTTTTTATATTTTTTTTCGCATAATAAAAAGACTTTCTATTATATCTTAATACAAACGTAAATCGTAAAATAATACATATAACAGTGGATTAATATCACACCAGTTTAGGCAATGCTAGTTATTGTGCAATGATTCTGCTTGATAAATTTACTCTGTTAATTATTGTTGTCTATTGTTTTTTTTTTTTTTGATAAATTGATGTTTTTTATATTCATTAATACATATAATGCAACATTAATGTCCATTTATGATTGTTGCGACAAAACTTTATGGCCATATAAATACAATTAGACTTGTTAAATTCATCAGCGATTTTTCAAATATATAAATTTTATATATATTATAGTATATACAGTATTAAAAAATATTATGCTAAATATAAATAAGGTTTCGTAGGTGGTTACTAATTTAAGTGATTCGACTGCTGCAGTTCAAAAATGATACATTTCAATATTACGCCAATCATTCAAACTTCATAACTCTAACAATGGACTTCTATAAATAAGTTAGTTCTAATACGTTCGTGTGATAATTGATGTGTTTACCGTTAATTATTGTGCACCCGTTATCCATGTTATTAGTATTGCTTCGTATTTATGATTTTATACCTCTTTAGAGTTCATCGTGAGAAGTTTAATCTGTGCATATTAGTAAAATGTTAAACAGCGTCTATATTTATTACAAAATTTCGCAAATTTTGCATCTTAAAGGATTTTTTAATATACATAGTGAACAAAATAAGAAAAAATAACCGAATATTTATAATACGTACTGTATGTAATGTGTAAGTGACTCTCCTTATAGCAGAGAAAATACATTATACGTAGATTTATGTTGATAAAAACTGATAGTTTAGTAATATTGTAATTTAAAATTTCTCAATATACTATATCATGAGCTCACCAAATATAAAATTTTAATTTGTTTTTAGTCAAATACAGTAATAAAAATTATATTGTATTACACGTATATTAGCAAATATTTTTTTATTGGTCATAGTCTTTTCTATACGTTTAATAATATCATCACAACTAACATAAGCAAAATAACGTTCGTAGGCTTTAATTAGATAACCATTGGATCAATTATATTATATGTGAATAAGCGAAAACTTAATTTCAACGGATCAGGGATATTATTTGAATCGTGTTCCCTGAAATAGCATTCATTCATAATTTCGAAATGGCATTCTTAAATAACGTGTACATCATATAAAATCACAAATTTCATATATTGAATTCTTTATTCTCGTATTTGTTAATATCGCTTGAGTCCTGTAAGTTAACCAATTACATAAATGTCGTTTTATGTCAGAAATTCCGTTTTTATTTCAAATTAACGCACTTATTTGTAATTGAAATGATGCACATATACTCAGAATAACGGTATAGGTCGCGAGATACGATATAAACATATATGCATACCCTAGATATGGTTGTATTGAATAAGGTTTTGACATGCTCATAGTCTAATATCAACGGGAAATATATGAGACATTGGCGTTAGAAAATCACGTGCCAGTGCCAACATTGATTCATTTACTTAAATATACTATATTGTGAAATTTGATATTGTTTCGTAATACAATCATGCATAGCTCAGCATTAACGCACAGGTTTTACGTAAATCGATAAATTAGAAATATATGCAGCCAATAAAATTCCTTATGTCTTACGTGAGACATAATACTAATTTAAGTTTTTATGCATCCTTATCGTATTTGAATCAAATTCAATACGGTTAAGTCCTAAACATTAAAAATTTACAATCATTACAAGTTTAATAGCATTTATATATTTGACATCGGTTTAGTACGTACGTACAGTACACAATTATTACAGTTACTATTTTGAAAAGTCTTTCACGGAACAGGCAGCATAGATGTTGAAAATAAATGCTTTATGCAGTATTATTAAGTAAAACTCAAGCGAACTGAATATTTCTACGTAACAAGTACGTACGTACGTACGTACAGTACGTAATAGTATAAAAAAGAATATCCAAATTTGGATATTTTTAGCAAGTCAAGGAAAATTATTATTCGCATTTTCCAATAGAATCAAAATTGGTTTTTGATATTGATGTTGATATCAAATATAGAAATTTTTATTTTGTCTTGAGGCAAGGATCTCAGAAATGGAAAATTCAATGACGATTGTGCGGTTTAGACCTATTAAAGTTTATGGAATGGGATGACAAAAATTGTTTGGTATATATGCACCATGTGCCTTAGCCAGTAAGTTGCCGGATGGCTAACCGGTTACGGAAATTTCAACCGTACAACCATTAAATATGTATCAATTTTTTTAAAAAAGATTTTCTATAAAGAATTTAGAATATTCCGAATGAGTATATTCCGGAATTAGAAGTGCGAAAGAATAATCGAGAGAAAATTCTTTGTTGCTTCATAGAATTCTTTGTAATACTTGTCATACATTTGTATATCCATGCTGATCTTTGTGAAAAAAAAAATATAAATATATAAATGGTTCAAATCGGCGAATCTAACGTAATTAAAATCTTAATCGAAGACTTTTCTAATAATTTAAAAACGTTTATCGTAAATTTTTTTTTAAAAAAACTTGTTAAAATGGCAGATAATTATGGGGAAGATACTGTTAATATGGACGTTGATAATAGATCGGAGGCTAATGAAGTAAATTATTTGTTGAATCAAGTAGGAACGAATACGTCTACTACGCAAATAGACAGGGAAAGAAATCAATTCAATGTTAACCCAGCTGAAGTATTTGCCAAAACTCTGACTAGTGTTGCAGAAGCATCAACAAATTATGTACCTTTCGCACCGTTAATAGAAATATTTTTAAAATTAGGGGAAGATATTGTAACGTTATATCAAAAAGCTGAACATAATAAACATTTGTGTAATTATTTAACCCAACGAGTAAATTCTGCTGTAGCAACTATAAGAGATTTAGAAATTCGAAAGCAAGACAATCAAGATTTTTTTAAAGAGTCAGCTAATCTTCAACTTATAAAGGATTTTGTAAAATGCATGCTTGATATTAGAAAATTTGTTGCTGATGTTTCTCAGCTCGGTTCATTTGGTACCCTCTTTAATTCTAATAATATAGTACAAAAGTATAAGGATTTATCTAATAAGTTTGATGGGTACTTGGCTTCTTTAAATTTTGCGATGACATATCATTCTAAAAATAATGAGATTCAGTATCTTCAGAGCATAAATCAAGATACTGAAGAATTGAAAAAACTCAATGAAGAGTTAAAAGCACAAAATCAACGAAATAATGAAGAGTTAAAAGTACAAAATGATACTACGATTAGGTATCTTGAAAGCATAAAAAAAGATGATATAGATATACAATATAAAATCAATGTTATTAAGGGAGATTTGGCAGAAATGAAAAAGGTATGCTATATATAATTTTGGTAATGAGATTATAGATTATGTATTCTATATTTGTACATAATGATTACTAAATCGTTTTTTGCATCTATTATAGTTCATGCATGAAATGTCTGATAGTAAAACTGGTTCAGAGATTACAAGCATCAAAAGGATTAGGGATTTAAATGTTAGTTATCAACGGAACTTACGTAAAGGTGCTGAAGTCTCAATTGATCATAAATCCTTTTTAAAACTAGAAGATTACGAACCAAAATTCGAATGTCCACCACGTGGTAAGACCATACATTGTAGATGGAATAATGCATTCCTTTTAGAATATGCATTTAAAGAAATTCCTCAGATCACCGATGATCAAAAAAAAGACCTTAGTCAACAAGTTGCTATCCTGAAAGAATTAAAAGATTCTGAACACATTATTAGATTTTATGGAATAGCTGTGTCTAACGATGACCTAAAATATTATCTGGTAACAGAATGGATGGAGAATGGGAATTTACGGGATTATTACAAAACTAATAGATTGGAATGGAGTAAAAGATTTGAATTTGCTATTGATATTTGTCGTGGAATCGCCTTCTTAAATGCTGTTGAGGTATATATAATTTTTATTCAATCATTAAAAAATTATTCTTCTATAATGAATGAAAACTATGGAACTAACCTAAAAATATACTATCATAGATTTTGCATCACGACATTAGAGGTGCAAATATATTAATAAACAGAGATCACAAAGCTAAAATTGCCAATTTTGGACTAAGTCGTAAGTTTGGTGATATTACCAGAAATATTCAAGTTAATCTTGAGAATGTGAGATATATGGCACCTGAGAAGTTGGAACATGGTGATAAGAAACGATATAATAGTAAATGTGAAGTTTATAGGTACGTACCAAAATATCAAAAAATTATTATCAAATTTACGTAATTATATATTATATATTTGTTTTAACTTGATTAAACATCAATTTAAATTAAATATTTTAGCTTGGGAGCTCTTTTATGGGAAATTGCTGAAGAAGAGATACCGTATACAAGATTAGGAATAGATTTACAGACTATTCGAGACCGTGTTGTTAAAGAGAAATATCGTGAACCATTTTCTTCAAATGTACCCAAAGTTTGGCAAGACATTGCATATGCAGGTACTATTATTATTATTATTATTATTATTATTAAATTTTCATAAAAATTGTTTTTTAAACCCTAATTATTCATTATACTAATTTTCTATATATATATTTAAAGCTCTAAATCATGATCCAGATTTCCGCCCAACTATTGCTAAAATGTTCACAGTCCTTTATGATTATCATCATAAAGATGAAAAAAAAGAACTCCCACCATATATGGAAGATGAATTTGAAGGTGCTTTTATAATTGATGATGGTGGTATAATGAGTGTAGATCAAGCAATTGAAGAACACCGAAAATCCGACGGAAATAAGCAAAAAGCATGGGATAGCTTTAAGATCCACGCTGAAACGGGTGACATAATTGCCAAATACTGGGTTGGTTATTATCTATATCATTCCATACTTCCTGAGCACAAAGAAAATCGTCAAGGAAACCTTCAACTTGCAGCAGCATTGTTTAAAGAAGCTGCTGACGATGGTAAAGTTGAAGCTCAACTGCGATACGGATTCTGTTTGTGGCAGGGCGACGGTGTTCAAACTAATTGGGATGAGGCTATGAGGTATTTAAAATTAGCAGCTGATAATGGAAATCCTACAGCTATGTACAATGTTGGAAGCGCTTACTGGATTGGAAAAGGAGTAACAAAAGATCAAGAAATTGGTTCCAAGTATTTGAAAATGGCTGCTAAGAAGGATCAGCATAATGCTATTACTATGTGTAAAAAACTTGGAATTTCTTTTTAAGTATATTACCTTATTAGAACATTATAAAATAGTCAAATAATCGGTGATTTTCGATACCATGTACAAATTGTGAATGGCATTAATACATATAATATGGGTATAATCGAGCATCATCGTTATATATTTTAGGAACTTTATTTTATTTCTTACTCGTTATATACTAAGTAATCATTACAAAAGATCTTTGGAGTACATAGATTTTGTCAAATTGCATTCTATCAATTTTAAATTTTATGGTTTTCTCTTTTATCAATTATAGGCTTTTAATTTTTTTATGTAAATAAGATTTAGTCTTTTGTATATTGTCTACTATTGATATATTTAACACCAATAAATATATATTATGTTAGAAAATAAATTTACCGTTATCAGCATTAGGCTATAATAGTAATAGGAAAAAATGCCCATTTATCAACCATAACCTGGTTTGTCTGATTTTTATAACCGAATTAGTGGGAAAATTAAGGCTATGATCAATTTATTTTTATATTTAAACAAATATTTTACGTAGTTGCTTGCTAATTCGATTTAAAAATGTCCGGTTCAGGCACCACTGAAGATGTCAACTAACAAAAATACTTTCAAAGGCAAAGATTCTCTAGGCGATCAAAATGCACAAAATGGATCAGATAATCAAAGGTGATGATTTTCTAACAACTGGATTGAAGGAATTAAAAAGTCAAAATCCAAGAATGAAAAGAGAATATAATGAACTAAAGTCCACTGAAGCAAAATTTGCTTACTTAAGAGTGGTTAAGTCGGAACGAGTACAAGGAGTAAGTCATGTCTTTAGAGCCTTCAAATAAGCTCAATATTCAATGCGATTAGCGTACTCATTACCATTGCTATTATTCTCACTTAATTCTACTGAAATTTTTATCGTTACCTTGTATCACTATTTGGGTCCCAAATTTTTATTTTATTTATGTTTAATTGTATTTCCAGCATTTATTGAATCTTAGTAATATTTCTAAAAATAGATGATAATTGCATCATCATCAAATAACGAAGTTATTCGATGATGACGCAATCTGCCATCGTAAGATACCGGATAATACCGTTATTTTACAAATAATTTTCGCATCCAAAAACTTTATATTATTTCACCAGCCATAGCAATTTCATGAGTAGGGATTAGTGTTTCTTGAAATTCAAATAAGGTACTATTTAATGTAATTCAACTAATTTTTATTCCTAAAATTCATTTGCACACAAAAAAAAAATCAATTAAATGTTTCAACTCGTTTTCACTTTTCGGAATTATACTTTTACTGTCTTTATCTTGATATTACCACTGTGAAAATCTGCATGATTTCATTTCTACAAGGTGAAACCCTATGCTTCATCAAATGCCATATCATTGATTGATCCTATCTACTTCCATCAATACGGGATAGATCTTATTATTAGGAAATAAGCAAAGTAATAGAGGAGAATTGTTAAAAAAACGGGTTGATTAACATTAAAATTTTTAGTAATTTAATTAATTTAGATAAATTTGGGATTTAGAATATAATTTAAACTAACTATACAATGTATTTAATCATATAGTACAATTTCATAGTTTTATTTTAAAGTATTAAATTGATTACTGTACTAGTTAACTATAAATTAAAAGCTATGTAATGAGATTAGCATATATTAATATCAAACAATAAATCTAAACACAGAGCAGAACCTAAATTCAAATTAGTAAGTATACATTATTGGGCAAGAATTTGTAATTTGGCTCAACCGGACAAATGATATTGGCTGTCAAGTGCCGCGAAACGGCATCTGTCAGCCAATCATTTGTCCGGTTGAGCCAAATTGCCGTTATTCACAAATTTGCCCAATAATGGTGTTATCCGATAATTTATGATCATGATTGGTAGGGAGTCACTCGCTGAGTTTTTTTTTTTTTTGAATGTTGGAAAAAACATAATTACATCGTAACACATGAAAAAAAATAACAGAAAGTTTTTCATGATCATAAGAGTTTGTCGGATAATGTACACTTATTGGATGCGAAGCAGCCAATAACTGGAGTTATTTGGCAGGTGAAACGTGATTCGCAGGATCACGGGATGATCGTTCACATGCCAAATAACGGAATCGGAATTTAATCAATTTAAGGCTGGCCCCTACGGGGCCCAGACTTAAATTGATTAAATTCCGATTCAAATACGGCAGTTATTGGCGCTTCGCATTCAATAACGGTATTATCCGTTAGATGACGACGATCAGGCTTATGTCACTTAATTTAACTACGTTGATTTGTAATAAGAAAGCTTAATTTTATAAATAAAAAAGAATTATTTTGTAAATTCAATCTATCTCTTTTTTTCCTTACAAAAAAAATGCCAAAAGCGAAAGCAACATCTAAACAAGGAAAAGTAACATCTAAACAAAATACACTAAACCAAGTGATGCTGAAATCGATGCAATTATTAAAGGTACAATTCCAGAAAATACCCGTAAGGCAACTACTAAATGGGTTAAGATCTTAGAAAATTGGCGTAATGATGTTGGATACAATTATGGAGTTGAAATGATTGAGGATAAAGAGCAATTAGAGCTTGAGATGATCGAAATTCAAACCCGAAAGAAATATGCACTATCATCATTGGTTAACTGTATTAATTTACTAAGTCTTTATATTTTAAAACATCCTTCTGGAAATCAAAAATTTAATATTGTAAATCGAAAAGAATTTGGACGCTTATAGGATGCACTTAATGGAAAGATGAAACAACTTAAGAAAGATGGAATAGTATTGCATCACCATGATCATTTGAATGATAATGAATTAAAACTTATATTTCAACATAAAGATATTGCAAATGATACACCTTAGAGTCTATTATATTGGGTCTTTATGTGGTGCTGTATATTGTTTCAGCCATGAGGTGGTGAACATTATAAGCTATCAATATCACAATTTACTTTTACAGCAAACAATAGTATCAATTTTTTTAAATATTCTCAAAAAAATGATCAAGGTGATGTTAACAGAAATTCTGATGCACTTATGATACCAGTTCCACCTGACTTAGAAGGTTATTGTGGTCCTGTGCACGATTTTAAACTTTATTTTTCAAAAAGGCCAATAGGTTCTAAATGTTATTTTTTTTATTTACAAATTAATAAGAAAGCTAAAAGTAAATACAGCAATATTATATATCTACTTTAAAAAAATAAATAAATAAATACTTATCATTATTTTAGATCTTTCAAAGGATCTGTGGTATGTTGATATATGCTTAGATGATAAAACCTGCTGATTATTGATGAAAACAATTTGTAAAACTGCTAGAATTAATATTGAAGGCTGTGATATTATAAATTATTCTGGGTGGTCCACCCCAATTACCTCTCTTTTTCAAAAAGGAGTTTCTATTAATACAACAATGTCTATTACTGAACATAAAAGCGAATCATCTTATCGAATTTATGCCAGACTTTCTAATCAATAAAGAGAGAATGCTATTTTACTATTAATCAATAGTATTAGAACGCTTCCTTCTAATGATACTGTATTTATATTTTTTAATTTTAAATATTAAATTAACTATGTATAATTTATTAATATATACATATATATTGTAATTTAAACATTTATTTAGGAATCAGCACCTATAACAATTAATGAAGATTTGCAAGAAATTTTTGGCGAAGATTATGTTTCAAATTTAAATAATGATTTACAAGTACAAATGATTTAAAAAATCTTAAAATTTTCAAGTTTTTTTTATACAATTTAAATTTATATTATATAAATTAAGAAATCTACTCTATCAAACGGTCATAGCAATAATGATAATAATTTTAATGAAACTTCGGCTAGTAATAAGCCAATAAACTTGAATAAAGTAAGTACTATATAAATAATAATAATTTTATAATAATTAAGTATACACACATTAAAAATTATATATTAAACTTATAGAACAAGGCTCCAGTAGTAAATTTATCATTAATAATTAAGAATTCAAAAGTTATGAAACCATTTCATCCACCACTTAAAGTTAATTCAAATTTGAACCTTTTAACAAATGCTAATTCATCAAATAAAATCTTATCTATTACTAAACCACAAGCTTCAACACATGTCAATGCTTTAAAAAAAAGCTAAACACTCATAGAACTACAAGTTTTTTATGATAAAGATAAAGATGATTTCCACGCTACTACATATATAAAAAATTATTATAATATTACAGCTAAACATGTTACTATTAATTAATCAAATTAATACTATAATAATAAATTATATTTATGTAATGCTTATATAATTATTGCTATTCACTGCTTATATATTGTATTTATTTAAAAAATCGATAATATTACAAATTTAAAATAATTACATAATAAAAAACTTATTTAATTTTTAACCAACTCAAGATAATTTGTATTCAAAAAACCCCATTTGAAATCATATATACATCAAGACAATTTGTGAGTGAAGAACCTATTTGGAATCACAACAATTTGTAAGTGAAGAACCTATTTAAAATTATATAACAATTTGTAAATGAATAACCTATTTGAAATCGTACACCCAGTCAAGACAAATTTATAAATAAAGAATTTATTTGACATCATATATACCTAATCAAGACAATTTGAGTAAAATAATCTATTTGAAATCATATCCAATCAAAAATTTTGTGAGTGAAGGAACCTGTTTGTTAGAACTTATACCTGGCCAAACCAATTTGTAAGTAAAGAAATCTGCTTGAAATTACACATGGTCAAGACAATTTGTGAGCGAAGAAACACCTAGCCAAGACAATTTTTGAGCATTTAAATTTATACACCTAGCCAAGATAATTTGTAAATGAAGAAGCCTATTGAGATCAAACTTGGTCAAGATCAAGACAATTTGTAAGTAAAAGAACACCTAACCAAGACAATTTGTAAGTAAAGAAAACTAATAAAATTACACAACCGGTCAAGACAAATTGGAAACTTATTAAAATTACATGCCCAAGTAGCAACTATATGAATTAGAAAAAAATTTTATTTAAAGTTAAAAGTGGCATTAAAAAAAAAAAGGCAAAAATTTCATTGGCTAAATAAAATTTTTGATATGCTAAATAATTGATTTATTTTGGTAGCTCAATCATAGTTATCTGACAGATAATTATCATTATTATTATGAGTCTATAAAAATTTTAATCGTATGTTTTCAATTTTTTTTGCCAGACTGGCAACAATTTATTATTAATATTGTGAATAATAAATATACATTGTAAATAGTCACTAAAATATGATACCGGTATTAACATATAATAATAAATTACTTTTTCAAGAGTTGAGTTCAGTATTATGGATGTTCTCAAGCACCTAAATCAATGGGCAAAAAGCATTGAAAAATAAATTTTTTTTTTTTTTTAATTCTTTGACAGTCTTGCCAGTGCTCAATTTATTTAAGACTATATTTAGGTGAGAGTTGAACTCTCTCGAACAATACATTATCATTCATAACTATAAAAGGCATCTAGCAATTGTGAACCTGACATCACCCGGCTGCGATTAACGTGCCCAAATGCAACTTGTCGCACCAACCTGTATACAAGTTAGATAAACTTTGTCAGCCCATCAAAGCTTTTCCCTTCATATTCTCTTTCCTTACCAAGAGCAAAAGAAAGTGATGATCTTATATCCGATACAAAACCACCAATAATACCAAAAAAACAAACTGAAAAATTAACTAACTAAAAAAATACAAATAGAATGAAGGAGGAATTTTAAAAGACAAAATAAAAGGAGTACAATGAAATGTAAAAAAAGAAAATCAAAGAGAAAAGCCTGAGAGCCAATAAAGAAGAATCAAGAAGTAGTACAAATGTAACAGAAGAAAAAGAAAAATACACTATAATAACCCATATCAGGTTTAAGAAAAAAATTTTATAACAACTGCAACGTTTGTATATCTTGATTACAAAATCTAACAACTTATTATCCGACTACCTACCACTTCCGGATGCTATTAGAGACCCGATCCCAGTTACATATAGGTCCCGTATCCATAGACTATGTTATGTTACATATCCACCAATAAACAAGGCATGTGATTGCATTCCTGGGTACTTCCAAATTTGGGAGGTAAACAATGCCGATCTTTTGGAGGGGATAAGCCAAATTGCCTACTTCTTGTTGAAAATTTTGAAGAAAAACTGGCCAAGCAAAAAACACCTAGAAAAAGATCACTTGCACACAAGTAGTAATATCCATATAAAGACTCAAAACCTCCTAAACCTTCTTCTAGAAAAAGGGTGGGGCACCTATACTCTTTTTTCAGTGAGTGATAAACTCTGGGCTTGTCGGCAAGTAGTGTATGAGAACTACTTCTAAATGAGAAGTGCTATACATATGGTGAGTGATAAACTCTAAAGAAGTTAGCAAGTAGCATATGAGAACTACCTCTAAATAACAACTGCTGACTTATAGCGACTAGTATGCTCTCTGTGTTTTACTAAAAGCTATTGTGTTTTTACAAAAAAATGTATTTGGATTTTTGATACAGATGATCGTTGGAAAGAGTTGAGAAATAAAATTTAATTAGTGGGAAATAGTACAATGTATTTATCATTAAGATAACATGCATAAATTGATAAAGCTTATTATGTAAATATGACATTTTTATTAATAAAAATTATTGAAATAAATGTGTCATTTAAATCAACAAACTTTTTACAACAAACCTCTATTTTTTTTATCTCTGTCTTGAAAATTTTACAATTAATTGAGTTTTCAAGAATACTGCACAAGCAATATTGCCATGGATCATTACATTTAGCAGCGAATTATTTAGCACTAAACGCTTTTATGAACAATAAAAAAAAATCAGGAAGCTCAAAAAACAATAGCCAATACTTATCATCTCTTAGCTTTTACCAATATGGCAACAAGTATAACTATTTCATCAATTATCTTTTCATTTAATACAACAACCCAATGCCAACGAAGACCTAAAACTAGTGGATTCTGGGTTGATGTTTTTCCATATTCAACTGATAATGAGGGTTATAACTCTTTTTGTCAAGACCTTTGTATCACTCTCTCAATATTTAATGCTATTGTTTTTCAATTAGAAACACATTCTGCATTTAGTTCCGAAGCCTTTAATGCAACACCTGTGTGGAAGCAAATTACTATTGTTATGTGGTGCTTAGTCAATAAAGCAGGTGTGTGAGTTTTAGAACAAACTCTTGAAATAAGCCAAGGGTCAGTTATTCATTTTACTGATCAATTTTTAGAGGCATTACTAGATTTGAAACGAGAAAGAATAAAGTAGCCTCAAGGTGTACAACTAACAACAGTTATTCAAGAATTTGAACATGGAATAACTGGTTTAGAGCATAACTCACCTAATGTCATTGGCGCAATGAATGGGTCACATATACCTATTCATCCTCCTGTTAAGAATAGCTCACGTTTTATAAATTGTAAAAGTTTTCACTCAATTAATCTACTTGGAGTTGTGGATAGTCGAGGATGGTTCATATATGTACACATTAGAGAGGTGGGTTAGTAAAATTATTTCAATGTATATATTAATTTTAATTAAATTATTTTAAAAGGGAGTGTGCATAATGTATATGTGTTTTACTGGTCTTTTCTTTACTATGAGATTTCTCATAATTATGAACAATGGGTTCCAGAAGGTTCTTATATTATTACTGATCCTGCATTTCCTCTTAAAACTTATTTAATGAAACTATTTCCTAATTATAATACATTAACTTGTCATGAGTGACAATTTAATAAAGTTCTTTCTTCAATGAGAATAAGTGTTGAAAGAGCATTTGGACTTTTAAAAGGAAGATGGAGAATTTTAATAAGTAAAATTTACTATACAGATTTAGAACGAATTAATTCATGCTTGTTGTATCTTGCACAATATTTGTCTTGATAGAAATGATTTATTATTTAATAATAATATTTATTGTGAAGATAGTGAAATTATTGATAATTGTGAAGATGAAATTAATAATGATAATGATGAAAATGAAGAAATATTTATTGCTAATATGGGAAGAGAAAGAATAGCAGGCACACAAAAAAGAAAATACTTAGCAAATCTTTAATGAATAGCTAATACTAAGATAATATAGTAATATATTTTATTAATTTAATATTCATATTTACTTTACATAAATAATTTCAATATATATTTAATAAATATAAATGCTTTAGGATCTATTATCTATAAATCATTTTTAAAATTTCGCAAGAAATTGTTTAAAAATTCTATTTGCTCGCTATGCTGTTTTTTTAAAATCTCATTAGTTTGTGAATATTGATCCTTAATGGCTCAACAATTAGTTCTGTTTGCTTATCAATATGTGATAAAATATCATCGACATATTTTTTTTCATCATCAATATGGGTATTTTTTTTCTTAAAATCAGCCTAATTTATTATTAAATAAAATAAATAATATAAAATAAAATAAATAAATAATGTAAAATAAAATAAATAAATAATATAAATTTATATTACTTCATTATCATCGTCATTTGTATTATCAGATTTACAACGTTTTATTCCACGAATTGAATCACTAGTAATTGGTGGGGTTATGCTTGGATCATCCTTTAAATAAACCTCTATATCATCGAAAAACTCCCACTCTTGTTGTAAAGCTTCTTCATCAGTATTCTTGATAACATCTTTAATATTTCGATATTTTTGATGAATGGATTCCTATTTCTGCTGAATCGAATTTTTTGAACGTTCTTTTAAGATCGGGTTTGAAGTAGAGGATTGAATATTTGAAATGATGTTATTCCACACACGGCACTTTCCCTTGGATCTTACTTTTTGCAATGCCTTATATTGTCTTCCTACTTCTTCTATTAATAAGCGAATTTCTGATGAAGACCATCTATTGGATGTTTTGTTGTTCAATACTTTAGAAGAGGTAGAATTCGTATCTGAAGCTGAATCATCATCAGAAACTGTTTCTAAATTATTCGACGGCGCCTTTGACAAAAAAAAAAAATTATTATTATTATTATTAAATTATTATGTTTCTAAATAAATATGCGAATAACACCTCTTTGTATTCAATAGCAGCTTTATTTGCA